CAGCAACCTGAGCCTGACTGCTTTGTTGAAGCAGCCACTTAAAGAACTGAGCTAAGGGGCGGCCCCCAAATATTTATTTATTTATTTTTCCCTGGAAACAAATTGAACTCAGGCCCTTGCACTTGCCAGGCAAGGGCTTATCTTCCGGAGCCGTCTCCCTGGCCCCTCCACCTTCCCACTTTGCCTCTTGCTCTGGTCTCCCTGAAGCCCCAGACTCTTAGCAGCCAGGGATCTCCCAAAACACAGTGCTTCTGTTTGCTTATTTCTGGTTTTTGGTGATACTGCGACTGCAACCCAGGGCCTCCCACGTGCTAGATAAACATTCGAACCCTAAGCTATATCCTAAACCCTAAAAACACACTTTTTTTGGTCTTTTTGTGACAGGGTCTTGTTATGCAGTCCAGGCTGGCCCTCATCTCACTTTGGTGTAGCGTTGGCTGGTCTTGAACTCCCAAGAACCATCCTTCCTCAGCCTCTTGAGGGCTGGGATTACAGGCACCTACCACCACCATGCTGGGCTTAATATCTGCTTTGTAAATACAGTATCTATGTTTAGAATTAGCCCAAATTGGGCATAGAGGCTTAGGCAGGGTTGAAAGTGTGAGACCAAACTGGGAAATTTACTGAGACCCTGTATGAAAATAATGAAATAAAAATAAAGAAGCTGGGGATCTGGCTCAGTGCTAAGGCCTTGGGTTCAATCTCCTGACCCCCACAAAAATATCCCAGGTTCTATGTTGTCTGCCTCTATTTTCCTCTTAGACTTTGTTTTAGGTTAATGGGCTTTTTTCTTTCTTTTGTCTTTTTGAGACCAGGTCTCACTATGCAGTTCAGGCTGGCTTTGAGCTCACTTTGTATCCCATGCTGGTCTTGAACTCCGAACGATTCTCGTGTCTCAGCCTCCCAAGTGCTGGGGTTATAGATGTGTGCCACCTGGCCTGGCTGCTGACTGTCTTTTTTGTTTTGGCTTTTTAATTTTATTTATTTATTTATTTATTTATTTTTGGCGGAACCAGGGATTGAACTCAGGCCCTTGCGCTTGCCAGGGAAGCGCTTATTCCACTGCGCCATCTCCCTGGCCCCAAAGAACTGAGCTAAGGGGCAGGCCCCTGGCTTTTTTATTTTTTGAGGCAGGCAGGATCTCACCATGTAGTGCGAGCTTGGTGTCATCTGCCCAAGTGCTGTGATCACAGGTGTTCACCACCAGGCTCTGTTGAATGTTGATTTCTCTGTGGATAACTATCCCCAACAACTTTTTGTTGTGTTAGGAATTGAACGCAGGACTTTGTACTCTCCACTGGGCTACAACCCTAGCCTCTCTTCCTCAATAAAATCTAAGTTCTCTGAGAGTAGAGACCCTTGTCTTCAAGCTAATGGCTTTATTTCCAAAGCTAGAGTAATATCTGGAGTTTGTACTCTATGACCAGTAAATATTTGTTGCATATATACACGATTCATTATAATGATGATGATTGAAACTCAAGCTTGCGGGCCGGTGAGATACCTCAGTGGAATAAGCGCTTCCCTGGCAAGCGCCAGGGCCTGAGTTCAATCCCCGGTTCCGCAAAAAAAAAAAAAAAAAAAAAAAAAGAAAAAAGAAAAGAAAAGAAAAAAGAAAAAGAAAAAGAAAAGAAAAGAAAAAGAAACTCAAGGGGCTGGTGAGATGGCTCAGTGGTCTAAAGCACCTACTTAGAACAAGCTTAGCAAAGCACAGGGACCGCGGTTCGATCCCCCAGCACCACATGCCAGACAGCCCCGCCCCCTGGTAGGCTGAGCTGGACACACACACACACACACACACACACACACACACACAAATAAATAAGATTTAAAAAAAAAGAAAAAGAAACTCAAGTTCCCCAGTCACATATTCTAGCAATTTTCTGAAGAAGAAGAATGCTGGGGCCTGGGAGATGGCGCAGTGGAATGAAGCGCTTTCTGGCAAGCACAAGGGCTATTTTGGCGGAACTGGGGATTGAACTCAGCCCCTTCCACTTGCCACGTAAGCGCTTATTCCACTGAGCCATCTCCCCGGCCAACTTCCGACGTTTTCTTCAGTGTTTTCTTCGCAAGCCCTCCTTCTGCTGCTGCCCATGAGCACATACCTTTAGGACCCCGGGTTCCTTTCTGCTGCTTTATGAATGAACCAGCTCACGTGTAGGCATGCGCAGCTGCCAGCCTGCGCTCCCGCGGCTCCACGTGAGACCCACCTGTTCCTCCGCGAGGCCCCGCCCCAATCCTTTCCGATGGACCAATGGAGAACGACCTGGGGGCGGAGCCCGGAGCAGCCGGGCGCGGAGGTTCCCGGCGCCGGCTCCTGCGCCGCAGCCCTGACTGTTGTGATCACGTGGCCAGCTCCCGGCGCGGCGCTTGTTTTGTTTTTTCCGTGGCCTGCCTCGGGCAGCTGCGGCTCGCGCGACTTTCCTGCTTTGGGGACCGCACATATCTACCCTCGGGCCCCTTCCTCAGGCTTTCGTCCCGCAGTTCTGCACGCCCCTCGGGGCTGGTTTCCACCATGCCGCTGCGGCGCTGCAGGAAGGTGGTGGTCCTCGGGTGCCGCTCCGTCGGTGAGCTCCGCCCCGCGCAGAGGGGGACGCGCCCCGGGCGGCCGGGGTGCCCCGGGGAGCGAGGTTTGGGAGGGAGGGGGCAGGGGCCGCTGGTGTGGCGAGCGCTGCAGGGGCAGAGCGCGTACGTGTTCGCAGGGACTGGCTGCAGGAGCATCGCAGTGGGTCCCCGTTGCTCCGGAAGTAGAGCTGAGCTCGGGATTGGAAGGCACCAGCGCGGTCGTCGTTGGGCGGGTGGTCACTAGAGGCCTGGGGCGGGGGGGGGGATCTTTTGGGGCTTTGGTGGGGAAGGCCTGACAAAGGCTGCCTGGCGCCGCGGGATTCTAAGCTTGCTATAACGCAGAGCGCAGAGGCTAGGCTAAGGGAAGCCCTTGCTGGGAGATTTGGGGTGCCCTTGGTCCTGGGCCGAAAGGCCAGATGAAGTGAGTGGGATGCAACTGCGAATTACCTGCACTCACAGGGAAGACATCTTTGACACATCAGTTTGTGGAAGGCGAGTTCTTGGAAAGCTACGAACCCACAGTGGAGAACAGTGAGTAGTCTTCTCTTTAATGTGAAGGGGAGGAGACTTGGAGTCCTTGGGTGCTCCTCCCAACACCATAATTTAGGATTTCCCAGTTGCCAAGGGCTGATTTAGACCTTCCTTAAATCTAATCTGACAGTCCTGTAGATAGTAAATGTCTTTTTTTTTGCGGAACCGGGGATTGAACTCAGATCCTTGCGTTTGCCAGTCAAGCACTTATCCTACTGAGCCATCTCCTCAGCCCCATGTAAATGTCTTTTCTCTCTTTACCACTGCTGTAGATAAAAGATGTGGTGGCCCAAGCCTGTAGGCCCAGCACTAGGGAGGCTGAGGCAGGAGGATTACTAGTTCAAGGCCAGCCTGAACTACACAGTGAGACCCAGTCTTGAAATCAAAATAGGAAACTAAACAATAAAAGAACCCTAGCTCTTCTTTCCAGTTTGCTGGAGAACTCCATGGATCTGCTACAGTATGTAACCCCCAGGGTAAGGAATGTATTGACATACGTCGCTGGCCTGCAAGACACCTCACAGTCGAGTTTTTTTTTCTTTTCATCTTACAGGAAGATAGTGACTCTTGGCAAAGATGAGTTTCACCTGCGTGTGGTGCACACAGCAGGGCAGGTGCCTGTGGGCAGGGCACCCAAATGCGGCACTCAGCCCTAGAGATGAAGCCCCATAGCGCTGGGTTCACATGTAGAGCAGTATTAAAAGAATAGTATTTTAATTTTTTAATTTGTGTGTGTGTGTGTGTGTGTGTGTGTGTGTGTAGCCAGCTCAGCCTACCAGGGGGTGGGGCTGGCTGGCATGTGGTGCTGGGGGATTGAACCGCGGTCTCTGTGCTTTAGCTTAGCTTGTTCCAGGTAGGTGCTTCAGACCACTGAGCCATCTCACCAGCCCAAGAATAGTATTTTAGCTTCTAATTCTGTGCAGGGTTTTTTGGAGTTGTCCTACAAATACTTGTTGACAAGCAGTGTTGAACAGAGAGTGCTCCAGGGAGGGTCACTTGGATGTTGTCTCACCAGTCTCTGGCATCTGCATGGTATGAATCTAGGTACTGGTGTTTTTATTTCTTTTCAGGATGAGTACAGCATTCTGCCGTATTCCTTCATCATTGGTGTCCACGGCTATGTGCTTGTGTATTCTGTCACCTCTCTGCACAGGTAAGTGACCAAGGTTACAAGTGGGGGACTTGGGAGGACCTGAGGACTTCCCAGAGCTGAGGGTGTAGCTCTCTTTCTCCTGTTTAAAGCTTCCATGTCATTGAGAGTCTGTACCAGAAGCTACACCAGTACCATGGGAAGACCCGGTAAGTGGCCCAAGAGCAGCACAGCGTGGGGAAGAAAGCATGGGAGAGAGCAGAGGGGGAACCTGCCCAGGTCAGAGGGAGCTGGGGCACAGATCAGGACTGTTTAGTGGGATGTAAAGGCCTGGGTGTGAAGCAGGCGGGGCCCATGGAACTCGGGCGAGGATCCTACAATGAATGCCGTTTCCTCTCAGGTTGCCGGTCATGCTAATAGGGAACAAGGCAGACCTTCGTTCAGACAGGTATGTAAATCTCTTAACTGTTAGGGCAAAGGAAAATGAGAACTAGTAATTGGTCAAGCTCCAGTCCTGGCTGTGCTATGACTCAAGTCATTTCCCCTCTATTCATTTCTTCTTCTTTCTTCTTCTTCTTCGTCTTCGTCTTCGTCTTCGTCTCCTTCGTCTCCTTCGTCTCCTTCTCCTTCCTCTTCCTCTTCCTCTTCCTCTTCCTTTTCTTCCTTCTTTCTTCTTTTCTCCCCGGCCTCCTCCTCCTCCTCCTCCTCCTCCTTCTCCTCCTTCTCCTTCTTTTTTTTTTTTGAATTTAGATTGAATTTAGAACCTTGCACTTGCCAGGCAGGCGCTTATGCCTTCTTATTTATTTATTTTTTTTTAAATATGTATTTGGTTGTTACAGGGTCTTACTATGCAGCTTGGACACAGTGATCCTCCTGTTTTTCAGCCTCCCCAGCACTGGGATTACAGGCATAGCCACTAGTCCCAAACTCTGTGGCCCAGCTCAGCCTGCCCTGGGGGCAGGGTGTGGGGGCAGGACTGGTGCAGCATGTGGTGCTTGGGATCAAGGTCTCTGGGCTTGCCTAAGCAGGTGCTTTAGTCTGCTGAGCTATCTCATGGGCTCCTTTTTCTTTTTTTCTTTTTGAGATAGTCTCCTTAGGAAGCTCAGGTTGGTCTTGAACTTAACTCTGCAAGGATCCTACTGCCTCAGCCTCCCGAGTGCTGGGATTACAAGTGTGTACCACCATTCCTAGGCAGCTATGCCTCTCATTTCTAACTTGGTTAAGAGAAGATAGCCCTTCTGAGCTGAGTAGGTGGTACATACCTATAATCCCAGCAATGGGGAGGCTGAAGCAAGGGGCTCACCATGATGTCAGTCTAGATAGTGAGTATAAGGCCAGTTTGAATCTCATAATGAGATCCTGTCTCAAAACAAAACAAAACAATGCCTATCTCAAGAGCCATGGTTATATTATTATCTTTTTTTTTTTTTTTCCAGAACCTGGGCTTGAACTCAGATCCTTGAGCTTGCCAGGCAAGTGCTTATTCTACTGAGCCACCTCCCCGGCCCATATTATTATTATTTCTTTTTTTTTTTTTTTTTTCAGTATCGGGGATTGAACTCAGGACACTGCTTGCCAGGCAAGCCCTTATTCTACTGTTATCTCCCCGGCCTCATGGTTATATTATTTTAAGCCTCAGTTCACTTTGTTCTTTTGCTTACCTATATTTTTTCCTTTAGCCTTTAGCTGAAAGCCAGGGGAGGTAGGATGGATATTATAATGTCTAGATTTTGCATAAAACTTGGAGAGGTTGCTATCTTCTATCTTTATGTTCTGGATTTGCTTCTAGAGAGGTACAGGCAGTCCAAGGAAAGAAAATGGCAGAGTCCTGGGGTGTAACATTTATGGAGTCATCTTCTCGAGAGCATCAGGTGCTGGGCCTGAACATCAAGAGGGTGGTATGGATAGTAGTGTTTCCTTGTACATTTTTGGTGGTGGGGATGATGGGGGTGCAGTGGTCACCTTAGTGCAAGGTGACATTGGCACTGAGCTGATTTCTCTTGAATACCTACCTGTCCCTTCCTTATAGCTGACTCAGCATCTTCATCAGAGTCATCCAGGAGATTGCCAGTGTGGAGAACTCCTCTGGGCAGGAGTGCCAATGCTGTCTCATGTGAATCCTCTGGCATACGGTGACTGCCCCACTTCTGCCCTTGGCACCGGTTAGGCTCCAGTGGGGGCAGACCCTCAGAACTTCATGGATATGGTTGCCAGTGTGTGTGGCCTTATGGGCACACAGTGTGGCACCCTCCTACTTGCACACTTTGCCAGGCTTCAGGGGCCAGGGTGTCAGTGTTTACAAAAGGGCAGAGGTGTGTCATGGGCCCTGGTCCTAGTCCCATTTCTGCTAAATGAATTGTGTTATAATATGCAGAAAGTATTTGAGTCCTGTGCAGTGTTTATCTAGGGCTCATTCTCCTGTGTAGGTTTCAGGTGCTGGGTGGGTAAGGAAAGCTAGGGACTCCTGAAAGAGAGCTGGCTCCTTGGGCTGACAATGTATATATGCAAATAAAATGAGAAATCTTTTGTTGCCGACCTCTTTGTGTCTGGGGCCAACATGGGCAATAGTGTGTTTTTTTTCCAAGGAGTATGGCTGAGATGTTTGGAGATCTTTTCTCCTACTTCATTTCTATTCCTTTTTCTTCATTTACTAAGGACCATTACACATAGGGTTTTTTTTTGTTGTTGTTTTTTGTGGTACCAGGGATTGAACTCAGGACCTTGTGCTTGCCAGGCAAACACTTAGTCTACTGAGCTATCTCCCCGGTGCCAGGACCATTACGTTAAAAAGTTAACTACTTGCTTTTCTCCCCTTCTATCCTGTTGGGTTCTGCCTGTACCGTAGAGTTTAGTTGGCTGCCCCACCCATCCAAATTTGTGGCTCTGAAGACCCTTTAACTGCAGAAACACCACCCTCTAGTGGCCAGCTGCCACATGCTGACCTAGCTGTCCTTGAGGCTTGGCATTTGCTCCAACTCAGTGGGTAGGATTTGAGGAGGGAGCCCCTCACTCCTAAAGGGAGCTGGGCGTAGTAGTTCGAGCCTGTAATCCAAGGCTGAGGCAGAAGAGAGTTAAAGGCCAGCCTGAGCTACTTAGTGAGAGGTTGTCTCGAAAGACAATCAGGAAGAAGTAGAAAGGCAGAAACTAAAAGTGGTGTGCAGATTTTGATTCCCTAAGAAAGCTGCAGAGAATGCCCCTAGTGCATTCTTTCTGCTTCTCAGGTACTTAATCTTGATTTCATTACAATAGGCATTCATACTTTTGGTGATCTTTCTGCACTTCGGGAATTGTGCACCTTGCCCTTTCTCACTGATTTGCCACCTCAGAAGGAAATGGTTATTTTAACAGAAGGTTTGAGTCTTTTGCTTCTGCTTTCCTTGACTCCCTGTTGCTCTCAACCTGAGACTCTGACTGGCTCAGTTCTTCTCTAAGGATTTAGGGTTATCGGTGTGGTAGTTACCTCAGTGTCCTTTGCACAGCAAGGACAGAGGCGCCTCCTGCCAACTGAAGGAGGCTGAAGTGTCCTGTCCGTACACTTACTTTGGGAGGGCAGACAAAATCTAGGTGTGCTTGTGATTTTTAGTCCTAATGTCTGTGTCTGGCTCTAGGTATATAGTTACAGGTGAGATTTTTGTCATCTGATTTTTTTTTTTTTTGCGGAACCGGGGATTGAATTCAGGCCCTTGTGCTTGCCAGGGAAGCGCTTAATCCACTGAGCCATCTCCCCGGCCCTGTCATCTGATTTTCAAAACTGCCAGCTGCTTTTGTTTCTCTGATCCAGAATCCAAAATGGAATAAGGGTTGCTGGAAAAAATACACTCTGAAGAGCAATCCTAGTGTCCTAAGAAGTTCTTCAGACTGTCACACTGTCTTCTCACACTACCATTCGTCCTCTTTATAACCTCGTCAGGAGGATCATGCTGCGGGCCTGCCATATGCATCAGGTCTGGGACACTTACAAGCATCCTATGCTTTCTAGATACTTATCAATAAGCAATCTCAAGCTCTGGAGACAATAAGTAATTGTAGCTGGTTAATGACTTCTCCATAAATATAGTCACATAGGTAGCCACTTACTTTTTTGAGCCTGTTTCACATTTGAGGTGAGAACTGAGGTGATTAGCATCTTACATTCTACATAAGCCCTTAAAGGTGGCAGCTCTCACTATGGGAGGCCTTCCTGGCAAGGGTCTGCCTCTGGTGCACACTCTAGGGAGGTACCTTGCATTTTCCAACTTGTCTCTTAAATTATTCTGCTGCAGTACGTGCAAGTGCAGAGTCACTGCTGAAGTGTTTTGTTTTTTCCTCTGTAATGGACTTGAGTGGTCAGAGCAGAGAACATGGTGCTAGTGTGTGGACAGCAGAAGACCTGACCCCTTCTGTGACCAAGGCCAGGTCTTCTGCACAGTATGGAAATCCCAAATTACATACGTCTATATAAATTGAAGTTAGTTCATGTGCACCCCCTATACTTCAAAGTGTTCAATAGCTACATGCAGTTAATGGCTGTCATACTAGGTATAGTACATTTGTATCACTGCAGAAAGATCTATTGGATGGTGCTAGAAACCCTTCTCTGCCAAATTAGCTTTGTACCAAACTTCTTTTTTTGGGGGGCGGAACCGGGGATTGAACTCAGGCCCTTGTGCTTGCCAGTCAAGCGCTTATTCTACTGAGCCATCTCCACAGCCCTAAACTTTTTTTGAGACATGTAGTTCAGGCTGACCTTGAGTTTCCAAGTATTGGGATTACAGGTATGCATTACCATTCCAGGCTCTACCAAATTTGCCCGCTTCCTTTCCTACCTCTTACTTAAAAACTTTTTTTTTGTACCCACAGTGGAACTCGGGATCTCGAGCTTGTATCCATGGCCCTAGAAAAGTATTTGTTGTTGGGCCCAGGGGTAAAGCTCAGCAGCACAAAGGGGCCAGCCATGCAAGCACAAGGTCCTGAGTTCAATTCCTGGTACCATCAAAAACAACAACA